TTTGAGAGATGGAATAGAAAAACATTGTGCATGGGAGAGAAATGAGATGGAGACATGCATGAGAAAGTAAGCAAGTTTGAGTGATGGGGAAAGTAGTGAAGGATAGAGTGTGTGTGTGAGAGGTAGATGTAAATATTATTGGAAGAGAGATAGTGTGTGTGTGTGGGAGAGAGAGAGAGAAGGATATTATAATTGAAAGAGATAACATAATTAAATATATGAGAGAGATTATTATAATTAAATTAGTGTGAGCTTACTTAATTAACATAATCATATTTGATGATGAACATATGTATGAGAGGATTGAGAAATAAAATTATTGAAGGAGATAATATAATTAATTAAAAATGTGTGAGAGATATAGATAATAAAATCGTGTATATAGTTAATTAAATATTATTACTATTTATATTTTTTATTTAAAATGTGATTAATTAAATTTTGTATAACATATACTGTTGCATATTATATGTATATATATTTTCTGTTCACTGATGGTTTCAATCAAATTCGTTGTCCTAACTAGCCAGGTCTGTTTATTCTAATCTGGAGGTCCTGTGTTCGAATCTAACAAATCCCCATGTTTGATTTTTCACACTTTCATTTTGGGTCAAAAAGGTTAAAAATAATTTGTCATCTAACTAGTTCGAACAGGGGACCTGGTGGAGGTTAATATTTCCCCCCGTCCATTTTTGTGTTTATTCCCCAGTGCTGCGCAGCAAAAGCTTTGAGCGTCTGACTTCCAGCGTTCTTTCTTGCTGTCATCCTTGTAAGTGTGCCGATCTTCTTCTTCGCTTTTGAAGTCTCACTAGTGCAAAATACCAATTTAACTTCTACTTTTGGTGTCAGTTATACAGGAAACAGAAGTTGTATGTTCTTTCAACACTTTTCGCTTCTGACCTCCTCGAACTTGATGCCATAAGCTTACATATGGCTTCTGTTCAATTTTGAACAAACTCCATAAATATACCAAATAATTTTAAATTATATTTCATTTCATATAATAACATTAGGACATCTTCTTCTATAAGGTATAAATGCATTATTACGTACTATGGTTTCATTTTTATTTAATTAATTCCATTAAAAATTTTAATTTTTTAAATTGAAATAATATATTTTTTAATTCTTTTTTTTTCTTTTTCACTAACTGAATAGTTTTTAATGAGAAATTTTCTTTTAAATGATTTTATACAATTAAAAACTTGATTTATTTCAAACTAAAATTAAGAAATTATCTATTTATATTAGGTACAGCATCTAGTATATATCTAACCAGATGTTGTATGCAATTTTTTTTCCTACAAGCTGTATGTAATTTTTTTTTTATGCCTATTGCGTCTGGCCCATAATATAATGGACCAGCAGCCGTAGTTTGCTATGGCTGCAGTCCCGACTCGGTTGATACTTAAAAAAAAATTTCCCTTCCCTCCATATTTTCATCAGCGCGCCCTCCGTCTTCGGTAGTTCGGTCATCAGCTGTGTTCTTCTTGCCCCATTCCTCCATATCTGTCTTTGTGGGTGGTCTAGTGGGTCTCGAGCTGATCGTCTTGCTTTCCGCTTATTCTATCTTTGAATTGGTTCCGGGTCTCGCCTTCTTCGTTCTGTCTTCAAGGTGGCAGTTGGGGCTAGCGTTCTTCTTCTTCGCGTTGGGTTCGAGCAGGTTCGTGGGTCTCACCTTCTTCTTTATCTATCTTTGAGTGGCACTTGGAATCTGCCTTTATCACCTTTTGGGTATCACCGAAGCTGCTCTGCTCTTTCCTCTTCACCTTTGTCGATGATGCCTTAGGTCTTGCATATCTTAGTGCCGTGAGTTGACAGTAATTTGTTTGAAGCTTAGGTTCTAGGGAGTATTTTAGTTTTGCTGATCATTTTGGATTGTTGCTGAAACTGAAAATTGCTTGATCTGTTAAAGAATCGTGTGATTGCCGTATACTCTGTTCGTTCGGTTCTTTTTTAAAATTGTTTCTGTGGGATTTTCCACCATCTCCTGTTTATTGTACATAGAATGGTAGTTTTGCAGTTGTAAATGAGATGAGAAGTTATTTGGTTGAATGGGTTATACTTGCTAACATGATGACCAATCCTTACCGTGATTTAGGAGTACAAGTTGTTTTGTTTTTTCTCCTAAAATCTTGTTCTGCAATTTCAGTTGCAGAAATATATGTCTGTTGAAAGATGTTTTTACTGTTGAAATCTTCTAATGTCACGACTTGGAGTGGTTATGTTTGGTTTATGGAATAACTTTTAATTAATTTTGTTTTTATCGTGTATCTACTTGCAAAATGTAGGAAAAGATTTGTGATAGTCAGAATCTATTGATATATGTGGGTATTGAAGAAATCTTGTAAAATCTACTTAAAGCCAAGTATGAACTTCACATAGTTATGAGGATCGAGGATAATATTTCATTAGGAACTGATTTCTAAGCTAAATTTAAAGGAAATTTATTTGAGATGATTATTTCATGTTCTTAAAAATTGTTAGGTCGATCATGTTGATATAATGTGATGAATGTGAGCACCTACCAATAATCAAGTTGTTGGGGTTTCAGCTCTGCTTGAAGCTGCAAGAAGGACTAATTTTAAGGGTAGCGTCAATGAAATAACGGCATGATTTGCAGTAGAAAGGTATATTTTACATCTACATCTTCTTTCATTTTATTAAACGGAGTTGTTGCAGTGAATATATATATATATATATATATATATAACTATTGTTGCTGTTCGAATAGATGACTATGAGATGTACAAATAATTTTGCTTGTGTGTGGCGTGAGGAGTGAACTTTAGAAGTCAACTAATAAGCTTATAGAAGGTGGGCTCAAAGCTTATATTTTAATTTAATTTTTTTTATTGAAATTGTATCTTCTTTGAATGAGCCTGCAAAAGAATGATTTTAGGCCCAAATAAATGACAGATGTGTTAATTTTTAATCTATAAATTTTGCCAAGGATGCCTTTGCATCTTTAAGCTCAAAAGATGCAAAAGTAGCCTCAAAACTTTATCTTTCCATAAATACTTATGAATATTATGTGCAATCATTTTCTTGCTGAAGGTTTTCAAACAAGTTTTGCTGTTACTTTTTTAGAATCATTTGATTTTGCATTTGGAAATTATTTCTTCTTTCTTTCTTATCCTCAAGACTCTCTAAAAGCTTTGATATAGAATCCAACTGGGTGATTTAATATGCCTGATTCCTTTGTTCTATGTTCTAAGTAAGCCTGGGTATGCAGCAAGTGGTAGGCCCTTTTCCTCATATTGTTTTCTTCCATTTTTGTTAATAATCGTCCTGATCATTTTCTGCATTTTGTGCTTGAAAATCTAATTAGATCTTTTAGGTACAAATTTGATGATGAGTGGGTGACAAAAGAAGGCATACGACAAGCATTAGAGGAAGATGGTACTGAGGAGGTAATTTATTTTATTTTGGCTGGCCACTATCGTCTGGTCTCCTTAAATCTTTAAATATTTCTCCTTCTATGGCTAACCATTTCTGTTTTTGACAGTTACCACAGACTAATCCTGGATTTAGTAACACTCCTTTTAAATTCATCAAGTGTTCAAATGCTCATATGTTAGTTTGTATGCGTGAAAGTGACAAGGACAAACAATATGCAATGTTGATGAGAAAGAAATTGCTGAACATATGAGGGTAAGATTCTATTTTGATTTACAATTGATGCTATTTCTTCTTTCTTTCAACTTCAATTATGGTGCCATTAGTTTCCTACATGAAGATTTTTGGAGCATATAGCAGATTTGGTTATGATATGATCATCAATTATTCTATCATATTCACGAGGCTTGCTATTGTAACTGTAGGTATCACACGTCTTTGTTGGATATCATTGCCAATTTGTAGATGTTGGTCATGATGAATATGGCACTGATTGCAAGTCTCTAGGCTATCAAACACATACAGATCCCTGCTTTGCCTTGTGTGTAAAGCTTTTGTGATTGTATCTATTAGCAACATTTTGGGAAGTTGTAATTCTTCACTTTCCATTGGATCAGTTGCGTCCCCTTCTGTCGTCCTATCAGGTTAGATCTCTTCAGCATTCCAAAATGGGCCCTGATCTTGCTTCCTTTAATTAAACTTTTAGATTGTCTTTTATTCACATGACATCAAAAGCTAGAACCGCTTTCCCCTGTTTTGATTATTATTTGTAATAATCTGCTTGCTGCAATGATATTAATTCATGGCCGAACCTTGGTTTCTTCTCCTGATAAATGGTTCAACTGAGGTTTATTGTTTATACTCCTATTAGTAGGTCTGTTTATTGTTTATACACTGTCATGTGGGGAATAATTTTAAATCAAGCTTCTACATCTTGGCCTTTTAAAGTACATCAGATATATAGTTAGGATGGATATATAGTCAGGACGGATAGAGTTTTTATTCATGGCCGAACCTTGGTTTCTTCTCCTGATAAATGGCCTTTTTCTCTGTTTTTGTTAATGCTAGACATGGAGATATTTGTACAGTGCTCAGCTTTTATGATGTCTCCTTGATAAAATTTTATTCCGTTGATAATTATGTGTTGTTAAGATGTTTAGTAGATTCAAGTTTGAAAAAGGACTAAGCATACCGATAGAGGCAACTCAAACTTATTCATTTCTATTTATTTCTTGCACTTTAATATTTATTGTTTTTTTTATCTTATATTAATCTTCAACTTTTATGAAATAGAAATGGATAAAAGTTGGTTGGATGTTAAAGATAGAGGCAACTTAAGATATATTAAAGGAGTAGATGGTTTTCTCGAATGGGCATTCACTCAGAAGGGAGCGACAAGCAAAATACGATGTCCTTGTAAACAATGTATGAATGTTATATTCAAAGCGAGAAGAGATGTCAGGGTTGACTTATTGAGTAAAGGTTTTTGGGATAGTTATAAGGTGTGGGACTTGCATGGGGAAATTATTAGATGTCAAAGTAATTGTGGGACTTCAAGTACAGCAGCAGAACATGATACTTATGAGGAGAACCTTACAAGAATGGTATGTGATGCATATAATGTCCCTTCTATGAATGATATGAACAATGAATTAAATGAGAATGAAGAGCCTAATGTGCATGCCAAAAGGTTCTACGACTTATTAAAGGATGCAGAGACAGAACTTTATCCAGGTTGTGAGAAGATGTCAAAATTGTCTTTTATTGTAAAATTGCTTCAATTAAAGTGTCTTAACCATTGGAGCAACAAATCTATGGATGCATTGTTGGCCCTATTAAAAGATGTTCTTCCAGAAGGGGCTTTAGTGCCAAATTCATTCTATGAAGCTAAGAAGATAATTCGTGATTTGGGTTTAGATTACCATAAAATTGATGCTTGTGGAAATGATTGCATATTATACTGGGGGGAACATGCAAATGAAGAATCATGTCCTAAGTGCAAGATGCCTAGATGGAAGTTGAACAGGCAAAAAGGAAAAAAAATTTCCCAGAAAGTCTTAAGGCATTTTTCGATAACACCTAGGTTACAAAGGCTTTATATGGCAAGAGACACTGCCAAAGAAATGAGGTGGCATAAGGAGAAGCATACAAATGATGGTGTATTGAGACATCCAGCTGACTCTCTTGTTTGGCAACACTTTGACCAACAATACCCTAGCTTTTCTATTGATCCAAGAAGTGTTAGATTAGGTTTGGCAAGTGATGGATTTCAACCTTTTGGAAATATGAGTGCCAATCATAGTATTTGGCCTGTAGTTTTGGTACCATATAATTTGCCACCATGGCTTTGCATGAAAAGTCCATACTTTATGATGACACTTCTTATTCTTGGTCCAAAGTGTCCAGGTAATGAAATAGATGTTTACTTACAACCAATGATTGAGGAGCTGAAACAATTGTGGGAAGTAGGGGTGCAAACATATGATGCATTTTCTGAATCAAATTTTATTATGTATGCAGCAGTGTTGTGGACAATAAACGATTTTCACGCATATGGAAATCTTTCGGGATGGTCAACTAAAGGCAAGTTTACATGCCCTTGTTGTCACAAAGACACGCATTGCATTTCATTAAGGAGCAAGTTATCTTACATGGGTCATAGGCGTTTTCGTCCACAAAATCACCCGTGGCGTAAAGATGCAAAATCATTTGATGGAAAAGAAGAACTCAGAGCTCCACCAATTCCATTAACTGGAGATGAAGCACTTATGCAATTAGAACAATTGGGTAATATATCATTTGGAAAAGGCCAAAAACGAAAGCGCCCTACAGATAGTAAGGCTTATAATTGGAGGAAAAGAAGCATTTTTTTCCAACTGCCTTATTGGAAAAATTTGTTGATACGGCATAATCTTGATGTAATGCATATAGAAAGAAATGTTTCTGATAATCTTGTATCGACAGTGATGGATTTACTTGGAAAGACAAAGGACACATTAAAAAGTAGGTATGATCTGGTGGATTTGGGCATTAGGAGTAATTTACACCCGATTAAGAATGGTAATGATGTTTATAAGCCTCCTGCTCCTTATACGTTATCCTCTGAAAAGAAACAATTCCTTTGCAAATTCTTGGCTAACTTAAAAGTACCTGATGCTTTTGCATCTAATATCTCAAGGTGTGTCAACATTCATGAGTGAAAAATATTTGGTTTGAAGTGCCATGATCACCATGTGCTATTGCAGGAAATATTTCCAATTGCAATACGTGGTTTACTGCCTCCCCAAGTATGTGAACCAATAATACAATTGGGAAGATTTTTTAAAAATCTTTGTTCAAAGTGTTTAACATGTGAAGAACTTGACAAACTTCAAAGTCAAATAGAAATAACTTTGTGCTAGTTAGAGACCATATTCCCACCTGTTTTTTTTGACGTAATGGTTCATTTGCCTATACACTTAGCGGGAGAGGCAAAAGTTGGTGGGCCAGTTCAGTATCGTTGGATGTACCCCATAGAAAGGTAATTCACTTTAACAAGGTTACTTTACAATTATATTTGTAATCTATCATTTAAAACCATTCAATAAGGCTCGACTTTTTGTTGTAGGTATTTGCGAACTCTCAAGTCATATGTTGGCAATAAGGCCCAACCTAAAGGATCAATTGCAGAAGGATATTTGGCAGATGAAAGTCTAACTTTTTGTTCACGATACTTGAAAGACATTCCTACTAAATTTAATGTGCAGCATCGGAATGATGACATCAATGATAATAATATCAGTAATGAGCTTTCAGTGTTCAAGAAAAGTGGTGAAGCTAAAGGACATTTTGAATCAGTCTCTCTTTCTTATGAAGAGTATTGTCAAGCAAGAATGTATGTGCTCCAAAATTGTGAAGAAACTTGGCCATTCATAGAGTACGTCAACTTAACTTAATAAGAATGAATTTGTTATAATTTATATTTTTCTCACTTGTGTAAAAACATGTAGGGAACATAGGAGAGAACTTGAAGCTCGGGGATTAATGAGTGAGCAAAGGCAATATAAAGAGTTTCCTGATTGGTTCCGTTCACGAGTAAGTTCTAGACTTTGAGCTTTGAAGTTTATATTAATAATATTCATGCATATTTAAGGAATGATTCTTCTTTAATAGGTGATAGCGTTGTCCACACAAGGCTTTGTAAGTCCTGAACTCAAAAGTTTATCAATTGGTCCATCGAGAGTGGTCAATCGTTACTCTATGTTTATAGGCAATGGATTTCGCTTTCATGCAAAAGATCGGGCAATAGGGAAAAAAACTCAAAATGATGGAGTCATGGCCAAGGGTGATGACACTAATGCTGATAAAGAATATTATGGTGTGTTAGAGCATATTTATGAGTTATCTTACATAGAGAATAAAAAATACTTGTTTAAGTGTCACTGGTGGGATGTCGCTAATTATGGCAAAGGATATAAGGTGGATAAGTATGGGTTCACAAGTATCAACACTCAATGTTCATTACAAACTAATGAACCATTTATTTTAGCATCTCAAGCAAAGCAAGTTTTTTATGTGGATGATATTGTTGAACCGGGTTGGATTGTTGTTGTCAAAACGAATCCACGTGACTTGTTCAATATGCCGATTGAAAATGTTAATGTTGGTAGTGGTATTAATATTGCAATGGTTGATGAAGAGCCTTATCAACAATTGGTGGTTGATTTAAATGCAAGTCTTATACAGCATGATATCTTTATTGACTTGTGTGGAGATGATGTACAACCCCAAACTTTCATTCAAGTAGGAGAACCATCACAAAGAAGTAATATTCATACTATGGAGACTGGATTTATTGATGATAGTGAATCCAATTCACTAGTTCATGAAGATAGTGATGAAGAAGATGTGCTTGATGATAATGATAGTGATACTGAAGAAGAAAGTGACATTGAAGGTGAAATAGAAGATAATGATAGTACCACAGAGGACTCAACAGAATGAAACTACAATCCTTATAAATGGTGTTTTTACTAATATATTCTTGACAAGTTAGATTTTGTAATTTTTGTTAATATGTACTATGTTCATAAAGAGTAGTTTTATTAACATAAAAAGTAATCTAAATTTTGTACATTATTACAGGATATGTCAGGGCTAAAGAGAGGACGAGGTGGGAGAAGCTCTTTCTTCACACGACATGGCAGCACAAGTAGTGGAGGTATTAGCTCTACTCCTGCAATTAGACCTACCATTTCACCTCGACCACTCCAAGTGCAATTTGAGGAATTGCCTGCCGACTCTCCCCCTACTCAAAACAGTAGTGCAGGTAAATTTTCTTTACTTTTATATAATACAAGTAACTAATCAGCATTACATACTTTTGACTGTATTATTTGTTCACTTGAATGATAGGGTCTTCTAATATAATTGAGAAAGGTAGAGGAGTTTATAAGTCGCTCAATGTGGACTTAATGACTAAATTTGGAGGAAAGATTGAGCTTACTTTCACAGATGACATGACAAGAGCAGTAGGGCGAGGAGCAAGAGAGCTAGCTAATTATTGTGGTTATGTTATTAGAACCACAATATCTTTGAAGGATTGTGCTGAATGGAAGAATGTTTACACAAATTATATTGATGTTATGATTTTAAAAGTGAAGGTACAATTTATGTTTAGTAAATATATATCTTAGTTTATTTATGCTTTCAAAACAAGTACTTATGTTGATATTGATTTTTATTTTAGGAAAAATTTCAACCTGCTGTTGCAACAGATGAAGAGAAGTTCCAAAAAATGATAGTGACTACATTGCAAAATGCTTTCAGAAATTGGAAGACCAACTTGCATACTCACTATAAGAAATTTGACACTGATGAAGAAAGGTTGGCAAATCCACCTCAAACTGTAAGTTTTGAAGATTGGGAGTGGTTATTAACATATTTTTAGTCAGATCCATTTAAGGTATCTTACGAAATACTAACTATTTAAATGGATAATATAATTATATCATTCAACATGCTTAGTAGTTACTCAAATTTCATGTAGAACAAAAGTGCTAGGAACACACAAAACCGAGCAAAACAACTAACAAAGCATACATGTGGTCCTCGATCATTTGCGGAGGTTGAGTTCTCTGTAGTAAGTTGCCTCTTCACTACATTTTATTTTTCTCATCAATTTTTTTTTATTTTTCAAGATTTGTTATTTTTGTATATTATGTTTTATAGAGAGACCCCACCACTAGACAGCCTGCCCCCCCAGATCAGGTTTGGGAGATAACACATACTAGGAAGACCGCAGATGGCCAGTTAGAGTGGGTGGATCCGCGATCTGAAGAGATTTATGTATACATAATATTTGTCCTTTATGTTTAATTAAATAATTTTATTTTTTTCATTAATGTAATTTGTAATTTGTCACTGTAGGATCGCATGCATGAGCTCGTTCAGCAGCAATCCTTAGAGAGTGATGCTCGAATGACCTCTGATGAGATATTGACAGCTGTTCTTGGTGAGAGGTCAGGATATGTTAGAGGAAAAGGTTATGGAGCAGAGCCTCGAAGGAAGAGACTTCACACTCAATCTAGTGATTCACTTGAGAATGTACGCACATAGTTGTATGAAGAGTTTGAAAGAAGATTTCAGGAGGAGCGAGAAAAGATGGAAGCAAATCTTGCTGCAGAGCGAGAGAGGATGGAAGCAGAACGTGCAGCAGAGCGAGCAAAGATGGAAGCAGAGCGTACACAACTTGAACAAAGGATGGAGCAACTGATGGAACAGAGAATACAAGCTCAGTTCACTGCTTTCATGCAAAAGATGTAGTTAAATGCTCCTGCAGATACCCCTACTTCTAGTGTCCCTCCTTCTACATAATTTTTCTTTTGCATTATGTAATGTATCCTTTAATTGAACAATTTTTTTTTAGTTAAAGACACAAAAACACTTTGATGGTTATATAAATCTTATCATTTAATATATTATATTTGTGTGTTAATTACTTTATTTTTATTAAACCTTTTGATAATATTTATCAGGAATATAAATAAAATTTTTTGCATAATTAATATATTATAAAAATAATTAAAATCACAAAAAAAGGGTAATCAGCGGCGACAAAAGTGTCGCCACTGAAGCTTGTTTTAGCGGCGACATAAGTGTTGCCACTGATTATGGCTTCAGCGGCGACAAAGTGTCGCCGCTAAAAAAGGCTTCTTTGTCGCCGCTAAAAAAGGATTCAGCGGCGACAAAAGAGTCGCCGCTGAAGCCACAATCAGCGGCGACATTAGTCGCCGTTGATTCTTATGTTTCAGTGGCGACACTTTCCGGGTGGTAAACTCTCACCTTTAAGCGGCGACGAAAAGTCGCTGCTGATAAAAGTTGCCGCTGAAAATTCACTTTCAGCGGCGACTATTTTTGTCGCCGCTGATAAGTTTCAGCCATGGCCGCTATGGCGACGACCTGGCGGCGACAAAATGTCGCCGCTGAAACTTTTCAGCGGCGACTTTTGGACTTTCAGCAGCGACTTTTGTCGCCGCTGAAGGTCGAATTTTTTGTAGTGACACCCAGCAACAAGATAGACCTTATACCTAATGTATATATCGTCGTCTTTTATTTTTATTTTTTCAATATAAGTAATTTGCTTTTAGCTAATGTATGCACTCCCACCACCCATTAATCGGGGAAAAAAAAATTCTCTCTGTTTATTGATATGTGCTTTTCTTTTTAATTTACTTGCTCACTCTGAGAAACCATAAAACTAAGAAATATATGGATATAAAATCAAGCCCTAAAACAAACACAGAGAAACTAACTAAAATGAACCCAAATCCTCAACCAAATTTTGTGCAAATTTGTCCTAATCCTCCAATACTTTTTTATAAAACTATTATTAAAATAATAAGCATAAAAAGATAAATCTAAAGTAATCAATTAAATTTCATCCGAACAATTTAGAACTTTGGGAAAAAGATAGTGAAAAAATCATTCCAAAATATCACTCCCTCTGGTCTAAATGTATGAGTTAGATAAGTAACTCATAGAGATTAAAATATCAAATAAGTTAATCGTTTGTGAAATATATATGTGTTGGTTTTAACAAAATATCTCTATAAGTTACTTATCTAACTCAAATATTTAGACCAGAGGGAGTGATATCTTGGAATGATTCTTTCACTATCTTTTTTCCAAAGTTCTAAATTGTTTAGATGAAATTTAATTG